ATTATGTTTTAGGTGTCAGCCTAAACCCATCCTCGTGACCAGCCTCACTGCGTACGCGGAGGAGAGTCAGAAGGATACGGTGGGATGTGCACAGGGCCTCATCTGCCCACGCTTGTTAGCGCTGCCATGTTAATTGGAAAGCCAGCAGATCCACCAAGCACAGCCAGGAAAATGGGGGACAGGACAGATTCACGGCTACTCAAGACTGTTCTTGAAGAAAAAGCACAAAAGTAAGCTCTGCCATCCCTGAAGGTGAGCCTGTGCATGTTCAGAGGAAGGGAACAAAATCAGTGAGAATCTTCAGGAACTAATGTGAGCATCTGAGCAAGTGTTGGATGCCCGAGATCTGCACTACGTAACTAGCGACAGAGCTGTAACTGTTCACGGTAACTCACCTCACTGAAGCTCCCATTTCCTTCTAAATACACAAAAATTAGATTTGGGCCTGAACAGTAGCTTGAGGGCGGCCACTCAAATTAATGCAAAGCTCAAGAGGTTAATTTAGTTCCAAATCCAGGCTCAGCTCCCCTTCCAAGATGATATTTGATTCACGTGAATTAAAGAGAAAGCTCAAGGGCAGAGCACACAAGGTGAAACATGGTAAGCCTACATCCTTTTTCCAGATTATAAGCATCTTCTGCATAGCAAATTCATCTCAAATTTCATCTCAGTATTTCTCCAACGTGCAAACTCCACGTTTCTGGGACCCTTCAGCATCAGGACTGGGGGACTCGTGGCGCAGACAGACACACACACACCTTCCACCCACACTTGCGCCATTTTAGGCCTCTCGCTCCCATAATGAAGTTGGTACAGGCTGCTTCCTTGCCCATCGCTTGCCCTGTCATAGCAAGCAAAGGTGGCCACTGCAAGCGGGTAACAGCAGGTTCTGCACCTACATTTCTGAGCCTACGAGGTGTAGCCGCTCCAACAGAATGTAACCTCCATACCCCTTGGACAGGCAGCAGCAGATAAGGACAGTGCTGAGCCCCTCGGCCAAAATGGCAGAGCCTCAAGGAAAGCGTATTGAGTGCAGCAGTGAGGAAAAAGTGTGAGAAAGAGCCCTGTGAACACCCTGGTGAGGGCAGGAGGAGGAGGAGGAGGTGCTGCAGGCCCAGAGCAGAGATTCCCCCCAGCCCCTGGGGCAGCCCACGGTGAGGCCGGCTGTCCCCC